TGATGATGATGATGATGAAGGTGATGATGTTGAAGGTGATGATGATGATGATGATGATGATGAAGGTGATGATGATGATGATGAACGTCCCCTGCCTCCTCAGGACCTCCACCAGTTGTCCCGGCTGCAGAAGTTGGCCTACCATCCTCTGGATAAAGGCCTTCACATCATCCACAACCCTCTGCTCAAACCTGTCAAGGAGGTTCTGGAGGGGGGGCTCAGTGCACTCTTCAGCTACCTGAGGGCAGGATAGACCTGGGGGCGGGGCTTAACACCTGGTGACTGCAGGCGGAGCTCTGTCTCTATCTGAGACCTGGGGGCGGGGCTTTAACCTACCTGAAAGTTGGGAGCCGAGCTTTTGAACTACCGAACAGGTGAGGGTGGAGCTTATCACCTAACAGGTGAGGGTGGGGCTTGATCACTAGAGATTTGGGAGCAGAGCTTTGACCTACCTGAGAGCTGTGGGTGGAGCTTTCAACCACCTGACCAGGAGAGCATGGGTTTTAACCACCTCAGAGCTGGGGGCGGGACCCTTTAACTACCTGATGACTGGGGGCGGAGCTTTTCCTCCACCATGATGAGCTGGATGCTGTTTAGCGCTGCTGGCTGGTTCACCCATTCCTGTTATCTGCAGCTGGAACCGCTGATCCTCTACTTGGCTCCCTTTTTTCGCTGTTTTTATGAATTTTGAGTTGAAACTAGTTCCACTGTTAGATATCCTTCAGCTATGCTTCAGCTTAGACTCCATGTTGGAACCATCTGCCTCCTTTCTAACTAACTGTGTTGCTCTGAAGCATGCAGAGCTCAGCTGTTCTGTGAATGAATGTTGCTGTGAATAAACCATGCGCTGGACTGCTGTCTTCTTATGAACACACAACATGGAAACATGGAAACAGTCTTAAATACATGGTGCGTTCTTCTCCCTCTGCACTCAGATTACCTTCAGCTCTGGTCAGGGTTTCTTCAGGAACCTTGTGGTGTGTTTTGGAGAACCTCCTCCTTCTTCAGACTTCCTTGGTTTCTGTGTGCAGCTGATTGGCTGCTTCATCAGCAGACATAAACCTGTTTCTGAACGCAGACCTTCACCATGTTTCACCACACGAAGCAGACACGTGCTGACAGACTGGATGTTCATACCTTCTTCATAAGCAACCTGAATGTCACCGCACAACATGAGAAACTCAGCTGGTGTCTTTTGTGTCTGACTTCTGCTGCACTTGATGGATTACGTCGATGAAGGACGCCGCTACCTGCGAGAACTCGTGAATCGCAGGACACTTTGAACACTTAGACTTTTTTCCTATTAATACTTTTTACACAGTTTAATACAGATCAGCAGAACATTTGTAAACCTACTTATAGACACATTTTGGAAAAAACATTTGCAGATTCCAGTTTGATTGACAAATCTGAATCAGAAGCGTTTTTATTGCCAAGTGAATAACAAGACAGGAATAAATATAGAAATTCTAAATAAAATATGGACAAGTATAAAAATACTGCATACAAAAGTACTATGGAAACAGACATGAACTTGCCTAAACCAAGTCATAAATTAGCAGACAGTTGAATTACAGTTTTGCACATGGAGCTGAGGAAGTGCACGTGTAGCGGTGATGCTCAGAGGAGTGCAACAGGAGTCTGTCCTGGTTTACTGGCTGTTCATGAGGGAAGAAGCTGCTCCGGTGCCGGGATGTTCTGGTGCTTAGCAGGTCAAAGAGGTGATGACCTGGGTGGGAGGGGTTGGTGAGGGTTTTCCTGCCCTTTTCCTCACTCTGGAGGTGCACAGGTCCTGGAGGGAGGGCAGGGGGGCACCGATGGTCCTCTCAGCAGTCCTGACTGTCCGTTGCAGTCTCCTTATGTGTGATTTGGTAGAAGAACCGAACCAGACAGTTAAAGATGAGCACAGGACAGACTCAGTGACTGCTGAGTAGAACTTTCAGCAGCTCCTGTGGCAGGCTGAACTTCCTGCCCAGGAACCTGAAGGACTCCACAGCAGGCACAGTGCTGTTCAGGATGGGGAGGCGAGGGGGAGGGGTTCCTCCTAAAGTCCACCGTCATCTCCACTGTTCTGAGTGTGTTCAGCTCCAAGTTGTTGTGACTGCACCAGACAGCCAGCTGCTCCGCCTCCTCTCTGTAGGCATCACTGTCCTGGATGAGCCCAACAACAGTGGTATTGTCTGCGAACTTCAGGAGCTTCACAGAGGGCTGTGAGGAGGTGCAGTCAATGGTGTACAGGGAGAAGAGCAGTGGGGAGAGAACACATCCCTGGGGGGCGCCGGTGCTGATGGAGCAGGTTGCCCAGCCTCACCTGCTGCTGTCTGTCTGTCAGGAAGCTGGAGATCCACTGACAGGTGGGGGTGGGACAGATAGCTGGGTGAGTTTGGGCAGGAGGAGGTCCGAGATGATCGTGTTGAACACTGAACTAAAGTCCACAAACAGAATCCCTGCGTAGGTCCCTGGTCTGTTGAGGTGTTGCAGTATGTGGTGCAGCCCCAAGTTGACTGCACCATCCACCTGTTTGCTCGGTAGGCAAACTGCAGGGGGTCCAGCAGGGCTCCAGTAATGTCCTTCAGATGGGCCAACGCTAGTCTCTCAAAGGACTTCATAACTACTGATGTGAGGGCGACGGGTCTACAGTCCTGTGATCTTGGGTTTCTTGGGGACCAGGATGATGGTGGAGCGTTGGAAGCAGGAAGGAACCTCACACTGCTACAGTGATCTGTTGAAGATCTGTGTGAAGACAGGTGACAGCTGGTCTGCACAGCCTTTCAGGCAGGCAGGGGAGCCTCGGTCTGGGCCTGGTGCTTTCCTTTTGTTCCTTAAAGGGCCGGCAGACGTCTTCGTCACAGATCCTGATTGCAGGTTGAAGAAGACGTCTGCCGAGTCTCACCTGTTCTCAGTACACACTGAACAGTTCTTTTACACATTTACATTTTCCTGTTAGCTTTCTGATGTCACTCTTCCTGTTCACCTGTCTCTGGTCTTTGTTTGTAGTTTCTTTTCTTTCTTTCTTTTTAAATTCATTTTTGCAGGCTTTCTGTGCTTTAGTTTTGTGCTGACTGTAAAATCAGTAGTAGTATCAGTATAATCACACCCGCTGATAGCGGGGGGACAAACGGGTCTGTTATCCCGGGCCCAGAGTGGCGGGGGGGCCCAGAACTGGACCCTCATTGAATTATGGATGTTTTTCCCCAAAGAAGGGCTATTAATGGAAAGAAACAGGGCAGTATTTGAGTTAGAAGTTTTAATTAGTTTTCGTCTGAACTGTCCTTCATATCTTTGGAGTTGCCCTCCACCCCCACCTCCAACATTAAATGGTTTGGCCCCTGATCAACGTCTGATGTCCTTTTATTGGAAGTTCGGATTTTGCACTTCAGCACCAAAATGTCCGCTCAGCAGAAGTCTGGTGCTCAGAAAAGGAAGAAGAAGAGAAAAGGAGAGGAAGAAAATAGAGGCCTTAGAGATTTGCTTAAAACATACTTTAAAAAAAAGCTAGAACTAGTAAAGTCAACGTAGGTAAGAAACAGAGGAGCCAACGTTTGTCAGCCTGGTACCGTTATCTGGCTACTAGCTCTTAATATCCATTAGCTGTGATCAAAATCCTGACAAAACACAGACGAGTTTAGTGGCTCCGTCAGAGAGGATGAGACAGAGGCCGAGGCCAGAGATCCACCTGCCGTCAGGTAACAGAGATGAGGAGGAAGGGGCCCGCTGGTCCACCAGGGGGGACAGAGTCAGACCACGGATGAGACTGAGAGAGGGAGTGAGTCACGGTGGAGCGGGAGAGACCCGCTGGTCCACCAGGGGGGACAGCGTCAGTCCCGGGCCCAGGGAAGTCTGTCAGCTGGCCTGAGTATAATAGTAGCTGTATCAGTGTAGTAGTAGTATCAGTAGCAGTATTCATGGTGGTCGTATGAGGAGCTGCAGTTCTTCAGTTGGTCCTGTAGGGGGCAGCAGATAAACAAGATGAATGAGGCTCTTTGTTGCCCTGACTCACTGCTCTGGAGTAGTACAATCAGTAGTATCAGTATAATGGTAATAGTATTAGCAGTGGTATCAGTAGTAGTATGAGTATAATAGTAGTATGAGTATA